GGATGTAACGGAGAATCCGGTAGTTTTTCACAATAAAACATTTTTCGTATTCCGAAATAAATAAAACGGAATTAAGGCAAGTTCTTTCTGTGCGGCCCGGTACCAAATGCCCGGCGGACTGGTACCGGTCCGCGGTCCGGCGGGTGGGGACCCCTGCTTTAAACTGTGTGGACGCCGAGCGTCTACAGCGCGGACGCTGGGCGTCTCGAGAGTTCAGTGTAGGTTGTCCCAATGCATTGAAACGAGACGAGTCATTGGATAAATGCTGGTTTTGTTCAGCATCTCTGGGAGTCTATGGACAGTGGGCGTGTATCGGCTGGCCCGAAAGCTCAGCTTTTCTGTATGATGATTGGATGATCTGTCTGAGGCTGAATCTCGTTGTGATTGACAGCGAAATGAGCCAATCGCCGATCTTATGAAGGCTTCCCCTCCTTGACAGACCAGCGTCCACCACTGATACAATGAAACCAAAGACCAAAAATTTGCAAAGGTAAATTTGGCAAGCTGTACAGAGACGAGGTGCAGAGACCGTTCACGTTGGTCAGTCCCTTAGCCAATCAGGATGCAGAACACAATTCACTGTTTTAAAAACAAAAAGCATTTAAAAAAACTGCACACAAAAAAAAATCCGTGAAACAGCGAAGCCGCGGAAGGTGAACCGCGTTATAGCGAGGGATTACTGTAAATCTAAACTAGCGTCTTCCTCGACACATATTCCACCTGTCTCACTCTTACATTTTCTGCCTCGAGCGCCCCCTGGCGGCCGTTAGAAAAATGTCTAAACAGGTTGCATCATTGCATAAGCCGCAGGGTTCAAAGCATGTGAAAAAAGTCGCAATTTATAGTCCGGAAAATACGGTAAATTATGAACCTCCATACAGCGTTAACATCATTGCTACTTGCAAATGCGCATGATGACATGATTGATTGCTGCTGTCGCCCGGTGCCTGCTGGCTAGTTATAAACGGCTAAACTGTGAATGTTTTCGTGGGCAGGCTACGCAAACCCTGCTCTCATTTTCCACTTCTTGGGTGCGACTTGTTCAAATGATTCAACACGTATGTTGTATTGCCTGCCTTGTTTTTGACGCCGTACTTTGCACAATGGCTTCCTCTTCCATGTCAATCTGGAGATACCGCCACAAAAGTCATAAAAACACACTTCTCTTGTCAAAATAGCTTCATTTTTGGAAGATTGCGCCAGTCATCAGTTGGCGGCCCATCAGTTGCGCATTGAGCTGCACCAAAATGGTCGGCGAAGTGTTGGTTTGGGACCACTGGATTAACATGTCATTGCGGAGTCATTCCACAAACCCTCTACCTATTCCACATGTGTATGGGACACCTTCTCAGGACTGTGTTTTTTTTGTTTGTTTTGTTTTGTTTGGTCTGTCTGTCTCACTGCAGGCAAATGGGCCGCCGCCCGTCACTGATCCGCGGACCGGTGGTTGGGGCTCACTGCTCTCAATGATTGGTTTATTCTGTGAAGCTCTGTATTGCTGTAGGGAGGAACACAGCCTACATCAAGATCTATCTGATTTCCCATTTTTGACTACAGTATATTGGATTCCGCTCAGGTCCACATCAAGATCCTGTTTGTGGATTTCAGCTCTGCGTTCAACACCATCATCCCGGAACTCTTCACCCCCAAACTTCTCCAGCTCGGTGTGTCCCCTACGATCTGCCAGTGGATCCTCAGCTTCCTGACGGGATGGACACAACAGGTGAGACTGGGAAGAACAACATCATCAACACGCACCACTAGCAATGGAGCCCCACAGGGATGCATCCTCTCTCCACTGCTCTTCTCCCTCTACACGAATGATTGCACCTCAACAAGCCCAGCTGTCAAACTCATAAAGTTCGCAGACGACACCACGGTCATCGGTCTCATCAAAGACGGCGACGAGTCTGCGTACCGACAACAAGTGGAGCAGCTGGAGCTCTGGTGC